GGAAAGCCTTTTGTCATTTCTCAGACCTCACTACACATATGAGAATTCACAGTGGAGAGAGGCCTTATGAATGTAAGGAATGTGGGAAAGCCTTTAGTTGGCCATCACACCTCACTAAACATATGAGAATTCACAGTGGACAGAGGCCTTATGAATGTAAGCAATGTGGAAAAGCCTGTCGTAATTCCTCACACCTAACTAGACATATGAGTACTCACAGCGGAGAGAGGCCTTATGAATGTAAGGAATGTGGGAAAGCCTTTAGTTGGCCATCAATCCTTGCTACACATATAAGAACTCACAGTGGAGAGAAGCCTTATGAGTGTAAGGAATGTGGGAGAGCCTTTAGTTGCTCTTCAAGCTTCACTAAACATATGAGAATTCACAGTGGAGAGAAGCCTTATGAATGTAAGGAATGTGGCAAATCCTTTAGTTCCTCCTCAAACTTAACTAAACATAAGAGAATTCACAATGGAGAGAGGCCCTATGAATGTAAGGAATGTGGCAAAGCCTTTCGTCATTTATCAGACCTCACCGCACATATGAGAATTCACGGTGGAGAGAGGCCTTATGAATGTAAAGAATGTGGGAAGGCCTTTAGTTGGCCATCACACCTCACTGCACACATAAGAACTCACAGTGGGGAAAGACCTTATGAATGTAAGGAATGTGGGAAATCATTTAGTTGCTCCTCAAACTTAACTAAACATATGAGAATTCACAATGGGGAGAGGCCTTATGAATGTAAGGAATGTGGCAAAGCCTTTTGTCACTCCTCAGACCTCACTACACATATGAGAATTCACAGTGGAGAGACGCCTTATGAATGTAAGGAATGTGGAAAGGCCTTTAGTTGGCCATCACACCTCACTAAACATATAAGAATTCACAGTGGAGAGAGGCTTTATGAATGTAAAGAATGTGGCAAATCCTTTAGTTGCTCCTCGCACCTCACTACACATATATGTACTCACAGTGGAGAGGGGCCTTATCAATGTAAAGAATGTGGCAAAGCCTTTAGTTGCTTCTCAAACTTCAATAGCCATATCAGTACTCACAGTGGAGAGAGGCCTTATGAATGTAAGAAATGTGGCAAGGCCTTTAGATGCTCCTCATACTTAATTAGCCATATGAGTACTCACAGGGGAGAGAGACCTTACGAATGTAAGGAATGTGGCAAAGCATTTCGTCGTTCATCACACCTCACTAGACATATGAGAACTCACAGTGGAGAGAGAGCTTAAGAGTGGTTTCGTTCATAAACCAAAAACGAAACCAAACCTGTTGCCATCGAGTCGATTCCAACTCATAGCAACCCTACAGGACAGAGTGGAACTGCCCCATAGAGCTTCCAAGGAGCGCCTGGTGGATTTGAACTGCCGACCTTTTGGTTAGCAGCTGTAGCACTTAACCACTACGCCACCAGGGTTCCCTAGTGCTGTTATTTCAAACAGCAAATTTTTGAAAGTCTCTGATTAGAGGACAAAGTTTCTCAGTGACGAAGAAAACAAACTCAAAGAAAGGGTCATTAAAGCTACTTTGTTTCTCGGGAAGCAACAGGGGAGGAGTGGAGCTTAGCTTTTACACGCTTTGGGCTGAGATGGCAGCAGTGGCTACACTGGTGCCAGAAATGTCTGAGACAATGAACAGATATAGGACAGAGGCCCCTAGAGCAGAAGGTCACACCCTGAGAGCAGCAGACCACCCCATGAGCCCAAGGGACCATGGCTCCCCTTCATAGCAGTTATGCTCACAGACATATCCTGATATTGATCCTGAGTGGTATCCTGTTAGAATACTGCTGATTGGCGAGAGTGAACATCTGTTTTGATGAGGGTGAGTGCACTTCACGCTGGGGCCTTTCCTGGACCTCGCCCTTTGCACTTCTTCATTTATGTCTTTCTCTGTTATGTCCTTTTCTGTTTATATTAAAAGCCGTTATTGCAGGTATGGTGTTTCTGTGAATTCTGTATGACTGTTGCAACAAATTCATCGGAGTACCATCTGACATCCTGTATCATTAAAACGGTGTGCTTGTGGGTTGTTAGGTGCCATTGAGTAGGTTCCGACTCGTAGCAACCCCAAGTACAACAGAATGAATCACTGCTCGGTCCTGCACCATCCTCACAATCATTGTTATGCTTAAACCCATTGTTGCAGCCACTGTGTCAGTCTATTTGAGAGTCTTCCTCTTTTTCACTGACCCTCAACTTTACCGAGCACGATGTCTTTCTCCCGGGACTGATCCCGCCTGATAACATGTCCAAAGTATGTGAGACGTAGTCTCGCCATCCTTGCTTCTAAGGAGCATTCTGGTTGTACTTCTTCCAAGACAGATTTGTTCATTCTTTTGGCAGTCCATGGTATGTTCAATATTCTTCTCCAACACCACAATTCAAAGGCGTCAATTCTTCAGTTTTCCTTATTCATTGTCCAGCTTTCAAATGCATAGGAGGCGATTGAAAACACCATGGCTTGGGTCAGGGGCACCTTAGTCTTCAAGGTGATGTCTTTGCTTTTCAACACTTCAAAGAGGTATTTTGCAGCAGATCTGCCCCATGCAATGCATCATTTGATTTCTTGACTGCTGCTTCCATGGGTGTTGATTGTGGATCCAAGTAAAATGAAATCCTTGACAACTTAAGTCTTTTCCCCGTTTATCATGATATTGTTTATTGGTCTAGTTTGAGTATTTTTGTTTTATGTTGAGATGTAATCCATACTGAAGGCTGTGGTCTTTGATCTTCATCAGTAAGTGCTCCAAGTTCTCTTCACTTTCAGCAAGCAAGGTTGTGTCATCTGCATAACACAGGTTGTTAAGGAGTCTTCCTCCAATCCTGATGCCCTATTCTTCATATAGTCCAGCTTCTCAGATTATTTGCTCAGCATACAGATTGAATAGGTATGGTGAAAGGATACAACCCTCACACACACCTTTCCTGACTTTAAACCACGCAGTGTCCCCTTGTTCAGTTCAAACGACCGCCTCTTGATCTGTGTACAGGTTCCTCATGCGCACAATCAAGTGTTCTGGAATTCCCATTGTTCCCAATGTTATCCATAATTTTTTATGATCCACACAGTCGAATGCCTTAACATAGTCAATAAAACACAGGTAAACATCTTTCTAGTATTCTCTGCTTTCAGCCAGGATCCATCTGACATCAGCAATGATGTTCCACGTCCTCTTCTGAATCCAGCTTGAATTTCTGGCAGTTCCCTGTCAATATACTGCTGCAGCCACTTTTGAATGAACAGTGTGGTAGTGATACATAAATAGATCAAAAGACTAGGGGGATAGAAAAATGAAAGATGTATCTATCAGTTTATAAGGATATTTAATATTCAATAAAACTACACTGGGGGAAAATAATAATTTGGGGTTGGGGGATGAATATTCTTATAAAATATTTTAAAATAAGTATTTATGTACAATAGCAAGATAAAGGCTGAATAAAAATATATGCAGACCTAAATGTGATTACCAGGGAAGGCAGAAGGGAGGGGGAAAGGGGAACTCATTGCTCAGAGGACACTGAGCTTCTGTGAAGGGTGATGGGAAAATGGAGACATGGATTATGGTGATTGTTACACATCATGATTAACACATTTAATGTCACTGCATTGTATGTATGAAGAATGTTGAAAAGTCAAGTGTTACATGTATATTTACCATGATTAAAAAAATGCATGATTCAAAAAATGAAAATTTGCAAGCACTGTAAGACATAAGTGGATTCCTTTATAAGTTGAGAGAGGATGTTGTTGTTAGGTGCTGTCAAGTCGATTCTGACTCAGTGACACTGTGTACAACAGTACTAAACACTGCCCAGTCCTGCACCATCCTTACAGTTGTTATGCTTGAGCCCATTGTTGCAGAGGATAAACCTGCCTAAATATGGTATAAACCTGGAGAAAATTACTAGAGGTAAAGATCAATGGATTTTACTGTATAGACTTAGGAACAAATTACAAGCAGGAAACGTCATAAGTAAAGGTAAAGGCAAATGCCTAACTGGGAAACAATTTGCAACTTATGTAACAGACAACCGGGAGCCCATGATGTGTATTTGATTCAGGAACAGAGAAGCTCTGAGAACCACTGGAAGCACTGAAATGAAAGGGTCGCCTGTTCAACCCTGGGCTCTCTGAGAATTACACTTCCAGGTAATTACGTTCCAGGTCCACAGGCTCTGAGAATAGCAGCTCCTGGAGCCCATCCCTCCTAGAAAAGAGAGTCCTCGGAGGGTCATAGCAAGAGGATTAGAAACTGGGACAATCTCCCAGTCCCTACTGTGTCCATCCACTAGGGGGCAGTGTGCATTGATGCTAAAACAGAAGACTAGGAAAATAGCTGTCTTTAACTATCATGAATACTGTTTCTATAATAAAGTAATGGAGGTACTTTACCTGATACTCATTTATAAAAAGAATAAAAATATTCCATATTTTCTTTTCTGGAGAACCAAACACAAAGGGTTTCTGTGTGAACCTCAGTTGATATTTCAGTCAGTAGTCTTCTGCTGAGGAAGGACACAGATCCTCAGATCCACAGGACATGATGCTCCATCAGAGAAGAGTCTCCCTGAGGCCAGAGCTCTGTCTTTCACAAGTGACCAGAGGCTCCACACTGATCTTCAGATCAGCCTTATCACAGAAACCCTGACATGGGGAGGTGACTGATGAACAAGGGTGGTAGGACTCTTTTCTAACACAGGGACCCAGCACCCTCTTAATCTCCTCCAGGCCCAGGGAAGCACTGTTTAAGATAAAACCACTGAGCCCTCTACCATACAGATAAACCTTGAGCTTTGGGCAGAATCCTTCGTCCTAACTCCTGCTCTGCTCTGCTCTGCTCTCCCATGCTCGAACTGCTCTAGAAGGATGATGTTGTAATAACTTCTAGGGGTCCCCACCTCAGATATGTCTGCACCAACATAATTGATGTAGTAAAGTGGGAAGAGGAACAGACCAGGGTCAGTCCATGTAATGGGCTGGGTCTAGGATTTCCTTACCTAATGTATGTGTCTTTTCCCACAAATATTGATAAAACTCCTCAGTGGGTGGTTGATAAAGAGAATGAGGATCTTCAATCCCCACAGGAAATAGAAAATAGAGTCATTTTCACACCCAGTCAAGCTTCAGCTCAGCCAGGCACATATACATGATTCCTCAGGAGGATAAAAATAGTTCTCCATTACCTGATGTGAATGACTGCATCAGGAATCTGGACACTGAGAGAGTGTGTTCCAGACTAAGTTCCAGGTGTGAGTCACAGAGAAATGGAACCTGGAGGGACCCCTGCCCACACCCAGCCTGGGCCAAATTTATCCCTCCATTCCCCTTCATCTTCTCATTTCATACACATAACTTGGAATAACTATATATTCCACATGTAAACCACCTAGATACACCTGAGTCTGTATTTGCCTAATGGAAATCTTGGTATTGACCCCATCAATTACATGATGCTGGAAGCAAGGTGATTTCTTAGAAATGTTTGCCAATTCCCAGAGATACTTTAATGATTTTCTCTGCCCTCACCTCAGGATTCCCTGTAAAGTCTCCCTTTGTCTTACATCTACCCAGACATAGAACTCTGCCCCTCCTCCAAGTTTCCTCAAAATAATCTACTTTTTTAAAGTGCCTCATTAGCCATGTGGCTTTTATTAAAGATACTTAAAATGTGAAAGGGAAAGAAGTGCTAATACATTCTATGGAAAATGTTCAATAAAATCTCGTAATTGTTTTCCTCCCACAGTCTTTTATCAGGTTCTCTACCCCTGATGGCTCTTGAATCTTCTCCCTCCACCTATTAAGTACCCTACCCTTCCAGTCCCACTCTCCTCTATATCAGGCCCCATCTATTCCCCAACCTTGACATACTTCTCCCATTTTGTTAGAGAACTTCTAGTCTCCCACCACCATTCCTCAACCTTCACACTTAAACCTATCCTGACTTGAACAAACAGTGGGTAAGCACTCTTTTGACCATAATTGAAACTCTTAAGAGCAGTTTCACACACACATATGTAACCTGACCCTACAAATGCCAGTAAATTTCCATTAGTCATTAAACTAGCCCAAGCCAGATTTGGCCCAACCCCATGCACAGAAGGGCCAGATGTGACCACTAATTCACTTCAACAGAGGACGCAGCAACAGGTGGAATGAATCAGAAGGAAATCAGCACCCGGACCCTATTCCAAAGCAAGAGGTCCAACAAGAACCGCATCACCTCCTGTTTACTGGCCGCCTTCTAGAATCCCCCCCCCCATCTCCAGTATGCCAGCACAGCCACCATCTTGCTGCCCAAATCACATATAAGCCCTGCTTCCCCATAGCTCAGGGTGTCAGATCTGAGGAACTTCCTCCTGGCTCCTTGCTCTGCACATTGCAATAAAGTTACTTTTTTCTTTCTCAAATACCAGTGTCCAGATAACTAGCGAGTCTGAGCATGCTGGACAAGGACCTACCTTCCCGGATTCAGTAACAATTTCGGTGCCCAGCATGGGGCCAGAGGGTCACACAGACCCTCCATCTGGAGCCCAGCACTCCCTCGACCACGAGTGGAACTTCCACTGACCCTCAGTGCACACTGAGCCTCTTGTTTCGGAGGATCGGGTGGGTCTCCTAACCACGACCAAGGCTGCGACCAGCCAAGGCAATTTTACTTTGAGAATTAGAAACTAACTCAGGTATGGACATCCACTAGGTAAATGCCCTAGGAATTTCTCTTGTTAAGTGTAAGTGCTTGGGATTATATGTGGGGAGGTATCTGGAGGATGGAAGTGGGACTAAGACATCCCCATTGGAGGGAATGAAGCCCTACTAAGATCATCTTTGTTACTCCACCACTCCCCCTAGTTGACGGCAGAGAATGGGCAGCCTAGTTTCTGGTTGTAGACTTTGGTTAGGCTCTGGTTCTATTTCTGAGTGTGTGTGTGTGTGTGTGTGTGTGTGTGTGAAATATGGGAAACCAACCTAGTGTACCTTTACTGGTGTTCTTTGTTTTTCATGTGGGTTCTAATTACTGTTTGGGGTTACGTGGGTTCTAATTACTGTTTGGGGTTACTTAACTATGATAAAAGAGAGGGAAAATGGGATGAAATTGTCACTGAACACAGTGGG